AATAAGTAGCAAGGCAAGAAGGGATAGAATTTGAAATGAATCTATTCGAGAGAATTTAGCCGTGGCACCAATAGAAGATAAAATGAGAGAAAGTAGACTTAGGTGGGCTAGCCATTTGTGGCGTCACCCAAGTACAACACTTGTTAGGAGGTACGAGTTAGTTCAAGTGGAAGAATCGAAAAGGATAAAGGGTAGGCTCCAAAGAATATGGTTGGAAGTAGTCCAAAAAGATATGGGGACTTATGACCTCACTGAGGATATTGCCTTTAACAGAGCAGAATGGACAACCAGGATTCATGTAGCCGACCCCAATTAATTGGGAAAAGGCTAAAATGATGATGATGATGATAAATGCACGTGTGTATGCGTGTGTGGGTGTGTGTAAAGAGAAATCAAAATGGAGTAACAGATATTGTTGCAAAACACTATAGCACTCGAACAAAATCGATTGTAATTTTCATAAGGACCTACACGGCATTTTTCAAAATATTGTTCAATTTTTTATTAATGCAAAAAATTACAACTCAAGAAGAAAAAAGATTAGATTCACACAATTTGTAAGGAAATTGAAATAGGTAGTGCCTCATTAATGAAATAGAAGGGTCTCCTAATCAATGATACATGGACAAGGATCAAGAATGCAAAGGTATGACTTAGCATTTCCCAACATTCAGAAAAGCGGATAGAGATACTACATTTGTATTGAACACACTAAAACCATAGCATCCAATATGAAAGAAACACGATAAACATCAATTTAGGAAATTAAACATAGAAAGATCTAACGTAGAAAAGATTAATGGTAAACTTATTCAGAAGTTGAGAGATTGAATTTCTAACTTAATGCAAATCTTTCAAAGCTACAAAATGGAAAATAAGTGTTGCACCAATAGTTAATTAGTTACATATTTATGACACGGCAATAATCCTACCTAAAAATGTAACCTACCTAATAAACAAGAAGCATGAAAAGTAGGGAGTCATCATTCTTAATGCACATTATAATATTCTTATACACATTACCCATAATATTACTACGTCATTTTTTTTATGATAAGTATTATAATATTAGTTTATATACCATCTCCATATTATATAAATAATTTCCATAATATCTCTGTTTTCCATGCTACTTCTTTATTATTTTTTAGGCACACGTGCGCTGATGCCCCCATCTCCATGATTAGCATAGACCCCCAAGGGTGGGCGGGAGACCCTTAAAATGACAAGAGAGAGAGAGAGAAGAATATCCCATGCTTTAATGGGGCTACAAGGAGGGAGACAGTAATGACAGTCCCCTCTTCTCGTTTCGTCTTGCAAGCCCAACTAATAACGCCTGCAAGAGAGAGAGCAAGTGGGTACAACAAACCCCCTTCCTCAAGCATGTAGGTCCCCCACTAATGTGACCAACTGTCCCATCAAATGGAGGACCACAAGGCCCTCCACTATTTAGAGTCCGCAGTGGCCTATGGTGTAAGGTACAAGGGCATCGTGATGCTACAACCGATATTAACGGAACTTGCAGGCAAGCCCCATTATTAACACCAAGCCACGTAGCCCACTTTTGACATGAGCTACAAGGGGAGAGAGGGGGCCCTAGGTTCCATTAACGCCCCATTAAACAGAACCCTCCAAATGGTCCTATGCTGTCACCATAAAGGAAGAATCCAAAACGAGGGACCTAGTCCTCGGCCCATTAATTTGACCAGAAAGAGGCATTGTTGTTCCCTCTCTCTTCCTCTACAAGACCTATTTGGAGGCCCGCAACTCCCACCCTAACAAAATGACATCATCATCATCACATCCCTTTCCCAACTATTTGGGGTTAGCTATACAAATCCCGATCCGCCATTCTGCTCTGTCGTGCCTAATGTTCAAGAAGGTGGATGTGGCTGCCTTGGCGGCCAGGGGTATGGGTTGCCTAGGCAGGTGGCCCTAAGGGAAGGGGATTGGGGGTGGGGGCCATATGTTGTTTTGTGTGTGTGTTTTATGAATATGTGTGTATGTGTATGTGTGAGGTCTTGCATGAAATTCTTAAAAATTATCCTCTTTTTTCTTTTCTTTTTTCTTTTGGATCTGTATTTATGAGAGAGAGGTCTCAAACACTTGGAGAACATGGAGAGAGAGATAGAGGACCTTGCATTGAACACTTGCAGGTCATCTTCTTCTTTTTCTTCTTCTTACATATAAAGAGGGAGCATATGGGTACATGTGTATCTTTGTGTGTGCATGAGAGTGTGTGAGATAGAGGTTGCATATCGAACACTTGGAGTCCATCTTCTTCTTCTCATATGTACAGCCCACCTAAGGTCTTTCATCTTATCACCTATTGGAGCCACACCTAAGTTTTTCCAAATGTATTCATTTCGAATTCTATCCCTTCTCGTCTTGCCACTCATCCATCTCAACATCCTCATCTCAGCTATAATCATCCTATGAGTATGTTGTTTCTTGACTGTTCAATATCCCACCCCATAAAGCAAAGTTGATCGCATGGTTGTCCTATAGAACATCCCCTTCAGCTCCATTGACAAGCGACAATCACATAAAACTTTGGTTGCAATCTCCACTTCACCCACCCAACTCTAATTCCATGTACAACATCTTCAATCTTCCATTGTCCTGGATTCAGGATTCAGGATTCATGAAAAGTTTTGACAAAGTTTTACGTTGGCTGCCTACCTAACACAATCCACCTTCTTTACTCGGGCATGGAACACGTTAAGGAAAATTTAAGGTCCTCACCCTTCTTAGACCAACCCAAACAAAATAACATGTGATCCTCAATTATGATGTAGGTTCCCAACGCATTAAAAAGCGGTAGCCAGTGCTTAGGCAGCTGCGAAGGGAGGGAGGTGGCCGTGCAAGAACGCACCTCAGTCTTGAAGCATGGATGATGATAGTGATGATGATATATATGTGAAATAACTATATTTTGTGTAAGTATACATATGTATAAATGTAATAGTAAGTATATGCATAATCAATCTAACATTAGAATTTTGTATAATAGGAAAGTTCCAAAGTTGAAAGTAATTAGGTAAAGTAAAACATACATATGTATAAATGTAATTGTTATATATTTTATGTAAAGTACATGCATAATCAATTTAACATTAGAATTTTGTATAGTAGGAAAGTTCCAAAGTTGAAAACAACTAGGTAATTGTTGAATTCCATTTCACATATGTAACACAACCACAAGATAATAGCCTTTCCAATGTCATATGATTGATGGCCACATGCCCAAGACCATAAACTCAAATTACTTTGTTTTGATCATTTTTATCCAAGCAATAACCATATTTCCAACCCAGAACCCAATTTTAAAAGTATGGGAAGAAGTCATTTGCAAAGATATCAAACACAAAGAAATTTAATAAAAAAAAGACCAACCTTTGATGGCTGATCCCCAATCCTCAACATTTTGTAGCTCTTGTAGGCTCTCTTGATATTTCACAAAGAACCAAATGTAATAAGTATGGATTTGAATTGATTTCCCAAAACTCTTTTCCTTTTCTCAATCTTAAAAAATTTCAAGAAAATGAAATTATTGAATTTCTTTTTTTAATAAGAAATAATTCTAGGGAGAAATTGGGGGATTTTAGCCCCTATCCATTGCATGAATGGATTTTCTGCCCTAAAGCGATGGGCAGACGAGCACCTCGGTTGAGATGCTAGCACACTCCTGGGGTGAGCCCACCAGGGGGCCAGCCTTGCCCCAGGCAACAAGTATTTTTGACGCATTAGTAAGTGTTGTTTATGGGGCAAGACCTACAAGAGATGCTGAGGGCCACTTGGCCCACTGTTTGATGGGGAATATCAAGAAAGAGGATATCGGGTGTAGGCCCTCACCTCCCCCACCTGAAAGAGTACAAGAGGTCCTCCGCCACCCACAACAAAATTTTAGGGAAGGAAAGGATCATGTTGTCCCCCTCATGAGTTTTCTAATTATATTTATGTAACTTTTATCAAAACATTAACTACATAAATATGATAAATTATAAATTTGATTGATGTAATTATAGGTGAATACTTAAATAAGTATTTCTAAGTATATATAATCAAATATTAAATATTACATGTATAATTATATTTCAAAATCATAACTGTATGTTTTCAAGTATTTAAATAGTAAAGAATATCTTACACTTTGAACAGAGTCATATGCATATTTCAATGATTTACATAATAATAAGGGACCAAGATTCTTACTACCAAGACCTCCATAAAAACAAATAGAAAAGGTAAAATAGCACATGTAGCACGCTCCCACAGGGACATACTGCACACTTACTCCCCCGTTGGAGAAAGAGCTACTTAGAAGTTTTTAGATCTGAAATTTTAGATCCACCTAACAATCACCAAATGATTATTTACCAAAAACGAAATTTGGATTTTGAGTTCTTAAACACTTAGATCAGGCCGACAAAATATTGACCTATGTTCAATCTCAAAACGTTATTATTTTCAGGAACATACACAATGCATTTGAATTTTTTATTGTTTTCTAGGTTGGTTGCTAGGTTGAAGAGCTTGCATTCCCAAAATTTGGAGGCCTAAAAACTCCTATATTGGAGGAAATGCTCCAGAGGAAGCATAGAATCTTTTAACAAGGGGAAAAAAAAAGTGTCGCCTTCAGTAAGAAGCATAGAGAAGATGCAACATTGTGCGCAATTCACTTCCAAAGACAAAATGGATATTAGATAAGAAAAGTATAACATGGGAAATGATTGTGAAGTGAATAACTGGTTTCAAGCTTTCTGGAGAAGAATAGCCACAAAACTAGTGCATTATTTGTGTCCCCCATAAGCAATCATAAGAAAAATACTTTTGGAATTTCCTTCAAATGGGGGCATCATTCCACCCATAACTCAAATCAGAGTGAACTTAGAGTCTTAAATTAAATGTTAAAACTGATAATTACGAATGAATATTCAGATCCAATGATAACCCAAGAAGAAAAATAAAGTAAACTACAAAGTCAAGAAAATAAGCACCTTCAAACAATATACAGCAAGCCGCCGCCTGGTCTCTGAGTTTCCATTTTGCAAATCAGAGATGATTGAGTGGTGAACATCTTCCTTCTGCTCTCAAGGGAAAAACAGAATGCATCATTCAAACAAAACTAAAAAAATTCTTTTATGGGATTGTATGCTATAAGACCATTCACATTTAATATAAAGAGGTCAACATCATTTTCAGCCATCGGATTTGAAATCCGTCAGCTTAAAGTGCCACATAGTTCGAGAAAATTTATTTTGGACTTTGTGCCCAGCCAATGACACAGACCCAGCCATCCAATTTCACATCTTACAGTCGATAATGATAGTGATTTCATTATACCAAAGTACATATTCTTATTGTACACATTTCACCTTTTATATCAAAACCAAACAAACAGCAGTTTTCTTCTCTTGGGGGGAGGGGGGGTGGGTGTAGGCTTCTCGGGTTTGAACCGACAAACTCAGGCTTGCAATTACATGTGGGATTGAGCCCAAGAACAATACAAGACAAAAATATACTGTACCAATCTCAGCATGACAAATGACTAGAAGTTTCAAAGGTCATCAAATCTCAGGGTAAAGATCCCCCTCGTCATGCACACAGACAACATCAAACATCAAAATTTGAGTATTAAACATAGATTTTAATAAACATAAAGTACATATTAAAATCAAATCAGCACTAAACTGCTGAGACTCATGAAACAAAAGATAATCAAGGTATTATTTAACATTGATAGATTCCAATACATTTAAAACGACACATTAGTCCATGGCTTCCAACTCCCATTCCACAATCTCAAGTATCTGAATTTCCTCGCCATTCAGTACAAGAAGGCAATCCATTCTCATAACTTTTCACCTTCAATATTGCTTTTTTGAAATGCTTTTTAACTTCAATATCAAGCTCCAGACTTTCCTCTCTATACAAGTTGGACAAAATTTGGAGCACTAAACTTTACTAAACAATGTTGAAGTACATTTTTACTTTCTGCAATTTCTCATCACGAGTTTCCTCAGCACTATTTTCCTAAAAGTGGAGGAATGTTTGTTTTGACAGACTTTTCAAGTTCTTCGTGTTGCAAACCATGCTGAAAACACTTATCGCAAAGCCAAAAAAAAATGAAACACTTCTCATCAACATTGGCATTTGCCTTAAATAAGCATGATAGAGGCCTAACCCATCTGCCTTAAATATGTAGTTGTTGGCCATTTTCATGCAAAAATTTCGTGCGAGGTATTGCAGATTTATATTGAGAAAGCTCCTGAATCAATATTTTTAGAAGCATACACACAAATAAATTTCCCACATTATTTCATAGGTCCAGTTGTTGGGCAAACCTAGTCCTTCTGAATTTTTTTTATTTAATATTGGAAATACCTAGGTTTAAAAAACAGACATAGAAGAAAGTGCCTGGTCTGCTTCCATTTTGCAACGGTAACACCTGTAGTGCCAGAGAAATCAGTGTTCAACCAAAAAGCAGTAAAAAATAGAAAAAACAGAAAGGGGGAAAATAATGATAAAAACATAGTCAAGGAATAGACTTAAAAAGTATACTATTCTATATCTATAAAATAAAAATAAAAAAATTCAAAATAGCCACTGTTACTTGTGTTAAGTTTGGACTTTTGGATACAACTTGGCTGTAAATTCTTTTGTGAAACAATTTAATTATTAAATTTGAAATGTGTAATAATGGAAGAAGCCATAGTAGAACAGAAATTTTTACAGTTTAAAACACCGGTAATTTACTAAAAGGGATTGTTTTTTACACTCCATCCATTGTCTTTGTATGACAGAATGAGCAGGGGCTGCTAGCATTATAACCAACATTATTTTCAGCATAATGATATTTTATGAACTATGGGACATAACTTATTACAATTGAACCCAACAACAACCTAAAAGATATGAAAGATTCAAATTCTATAGTTTCTAACCGCAGAAAAGGAAAAAAAACGAACCATCTTAACAAACACCAAAATTTTCCAACTAGGAACAAGGGGTCCAGTCGATCAGAAGTCAAGCCCCTGAATTCTGAAGGTTTTGCCCCAAAAAAATGAAAATCAATTGGAAAGAAAGGGGCACCAGCAGTCAACATCCTTTCCAAGAGAATGGGAGTCCTCAATGGGGCCTTCTATGAACCCCACCCCCCCAAAAAAAATCTCTACAGATACTACGTACTTGGGAGGAAATAGATGGCAACTATGCGAGGAAGACAGGGAAAAAGGATTTGTTAAATGCAAAAGTATTGTAACTAACATAACTGAATTATTACAGTATATGGAAGAAGAAGGTGAAAAAGTACAGCATAAGAAAAAACTATTGAGGGAAGTAGACTAAAACTACAAGAAAAGGATGGATATGACAAAGTAGAATAAGATAAAGAGATAACCAAGGGCTATGGTAATGCACTGCTGCTTGCTGTGTCACAGTAAGCTAACAAAAAATGAAGAGAACCTAAGCCAAACTTTCTTATTTGATGAATATGTCATTGTTTTGTAGCATGCTGCAAAGGTTGTCACTAATGGTCTTAATTGCTTTTCCCTTGGTCTATTACTAAAAAGAAAATGGTTGCCATTTTTACCACGTACAAATTAGGACATTAAGACCGTTGATATTTTTATGTAAATGGGTTTCTAGACACATCGCTAGGAATTTAGAATTACTAATTTTTTGGGTAAGCAGTTGCCTAGATCCCAGAAGAGTGTCTCACTAGTAGTTCATTAGATGCATATGAATCAAGCAAGATGCATAGTACTAATCAAGGTTTTGAAAAATGGATCAGTGATCTGAATTGTCCTTCCAAAAAATCGGATCAGACAGGCAGATCGGCGGTCCAGATTGGAGAATTGGCCGAGTCAACAAGATATGAGAATCGGCCGGATTCGGCTTAAAAAACTTTTTCGAAAATAACTAAAATTTCTTAAAAATCTAGTTTTTTTAGGTTTTTCAAAAATAATAATGGTATTGAATTATAGTTTTTCATTATTTTATATAAAATATGCGAATACTAAGAACATATCTTTTGTCTGAGGTATAGCTCTTAAACAGAATGGAGGACCAGGATTCATGTAGCCAACCCCAATTAATTGGGAAAAGGCTATGATGATGATGATGAGACAAAAATTCATCTTCTCCATCTTAATTATCTAAATGGATAAATAAATGTCACAATAAAAACACAATTCGACACTGAACTTCTTTCTTATGCCATCTAAATCAATTGTGACATTTTAAATTTGGGCATGTATAATATGCTCCCTTGGGGGCATATAGTTTACTTCTACTCCCTCGATTAAACTACCTATTTGGGATATTTTTTCAATCTAAAATTTTGGGAATCACCTAAAAATCAATAGATGATTATTCTAAGAAAAAAAAAATGTCATCTCTTGGGCTAGATCTGTCTTGGAACCTTACTCCAGTTTTTGACGAGATTCATCACATCTGCAGGGCTATGGACGTCTTATGGCACCATAAGTGGAGGATCTCCAACGACACCTCAGACAGTTTGGCAAAAGAGGGAGCTAGAAGCCACAGTCAGGTCACTCAAGCCAAGTCCACATTCTTTTTTGCGCAGGACCAGTGGAACCTAACCAATACCTAAAGCTCTTGTATTTATATACCCTTTTCGATTTGTGGTCTTTTGTAACTTTACTGTAAACGGGCACTCTTTTAAGCCTTTTCTTCCGTTTTTTGCTACTTCCTTGTAAACTTTGTAAGGGGGCATAGTTTATAAGCCCATTTTTTGTTACAGGGTCTGTTTGACCTATTTTTTACCAAAGTCCCGGCTAGAGGGTACTCTTGGATCAATCCCTAACTGTAATCTTCTCCCTATAGCAATACAAAAGTCAGCTTTTCTCAAAAACAAAAAAAAAAAAATTAAATTTGAGCTTCTAACACTTGGATCTCAATCGATAAAAGTTAGATGCTTTCTATTCAATCTTGAGACATTTTTGTTTCAAGTGTGTGGATGGTGCAACTAGGAAAAAATTTATTGATTTTAATCTGAGTTGAAGAGGTTATTTCCCCAAAATTTTAGGTTCTAAAATTAACCCTAGGTAAGGTTTACCTGAGGGAGTAAATGGACAATATACCCCTGAGGAAGTACAATATATTTTGGCTTAATTATCATAACTCAAAAAATTATATTTTGGCTTAGTAGCAATCAATGCCCCCTCCCGGTCTCTCTCTCTCTCTC